ATTAAACTTGGACTTTTGATTTTCAGAATTTGATTGTATCTGCAACTCTAAAACAATACAAAAAATTTGTTTATTTTTTGGTCCTGTGATTTGGATAATAAAGTTTGTGTTATTTTAAGCCATAAAGTTTGTGACAGTTGGTACAGCTGTCATAGAAAATTAAAACAGATCTTCAGTTGTCCAACCATTGTTTGTAAAGACTATCACTTTTACACTAAATTTCCCTTTGATCTTTTGAAAACCAACTGACCATATGTGTGTTGAATCTATTTTTTGGACTCTGTTCTATTCCATTGATCTATTTGTCTATCTTCCACCAATACCATATTGCTTTACTATAAATTTAATAAGTTTTAAAAGTGAGTATTGTAGCTCTTCTAGCTTTCTTCTCATTTTCTTTGTAATTATGATTTTTTAGGTTGTTTACATTGAATCAACTTATTAAAATGCCTACTAGGATTTTGACTGGATTTCATTGAATCAACACATCATTCTGGGTAAAATTAGCATCTTAAGCTTCTCCTCATGAGGAATGTAATCATGTACTACACACACGTACCAATAAAAATATTTAATAAAAAAGATTTTGACACAGTGTATTTCTCCATTTAATTAGGTCTTCTTTAATTTCTTTCAGCAGTGTATTTTAGCTTATGGTATATGAGTCTTGGATATTTTAAAAACCAGATTAATCTTTCATATTTTATGTTTTTCCATGCTAATATACATAATTTATTTTTTATTTTTTATTTTTGGGTACCGGGGATTGAACTCAGGTCCTTGTGCTTGCAGGGCAGGCGGCGAAACCACTGAGCTAAATCCCTGGCCCCTACATAATTATATTTTAAGCACGAGGCCAGCAGAACAATGGAGAAATAGTCATATTTTAAAATTTCAAGCCCCAAATCTTCTAGTGTATAGAAATATAATTCATTTTTTACATTGGTCTTTTATGTTGAAATCTTGCTAAACTTATTATTGGTGTTAGTAGTTTTTTGGTAGATTTCATGGAATTTTCCTAGAGAGCAATTATGTTAGCTATGGATAAAGACAGTTTCATCTCTTCATCTCCAACTTGGATGCCTTTAATTTCTTTTTCTTAGTGTACTGGCTACAATATACAGTTTAATGTTGAGTAGGTATTCTGAAGTTAGGGAAAAGCAGTCAGCTTTTCATTATTATATATGATGTTAATTTGTTTTTTTGTGTGTTTTTTTTAGTACCAGGGATCAAACTCGGGACTTTGTGCTTGTGAGGCAGGCGGTGGAACCACTGAGCTAAATCCCTGGTCCTAACTTGGTTTTATTTGTGGAGACCCTTTATTAAATTGAAGTTCCCTTAATTCCTTGTTTTCTCAGAATTCTGATCAGAAATGAATGCTGGATTTTGTCCAATGCTTTTCCTGCAGCTATTTAGATGATTATATGATTTTTTCTTTTTATATATTGTATATTAGTTTCCTGGGGTTGCTGTAACAAAATAATACAAACTAGTTGGCTTAAAATAATTAAAGATTATTCTGTCATACTTCTGGAGAATAGAAGCCTGAAGTCCAGGTGGCAGCCACACCATGTGCCCTCTGAAGTTCTGGGCAGAACCCTTCTTTACCTCTTCCTAGCCTCTGGTGCTGGCCATCCTTGTGGCTGCTTCATCCAATCTCTTCCTCTATCACCACAAGGCTTTTTCCTTGTGTGCCCCTATCTTCACATGGAGGTGTTTTTCTTCTCATAGAGACACCAGTCATATTGAAGTAGCTCTTTCCTAATGACCTTATCCCAAATTGATTTTATCTGTGAAGACCTTATTTACAAATAAAGTCACATCCATAGGGACTAATGGTTAAGACTGGCACAGTGCAACCCATAAGTTATATAGATTATCAAATGTTAAACCAATCTTGTATCTTGGGATAACACTAATGGTTATCATGTATCACCAGTATTAATCTTTTTATATATTGTTGGATTTGATTTACTAAAATTTTATGAAGAATTTTATATTAAGTTCATAAGAGATAGAAGTTCATAGATTTTTTTCTTATATGGTTTTTGTTTAGTTTTGGCATTAGAATAATACCAGTCTCATAAAAATAATTGAGAAATATTTCCTTCTCTTCAGTTTTTTAGAAGAGATTTGTGGAAATGGTATCATTTCTTCCTTAAATATTTCATAGAATTTGCCAGGGAAACCATATGAGTTTTGAGAGGAAGCTTTTGTGGGAAGCTTTTAAGCTACAAATTTAATTTCTTTTTCTTATCCTTTTTTTTTCCCTTCCCTTTCCTTCCTTCTCTCTCTTCCTCTCTCCTTTTCTTGCTCTTTCTTTTTCTGTAGTGCTGGGGATGGAACCCAGGGCTTTGTACATCTAAGGCAAGTATTCTATCACTAAGCCACATCCTCAGCCCAAATTTGATTTAATAGATATATGACTATTTAAGTTATCTATTTCTTCCTGACTGAACTTTAGTAGTTTATGTCTTTCAAGAAATTTGTCCATTTAATGTAATTTGCCAAATTTACTGGCCAAAAAAATGTTTATAGTGTTCTCTTTTTATTGTTTTTTGTATCTACAGAATCTGTGGTGATGTTACCTCTCTCATTCCTGCTAATAGGAATATTAGCTTTCTCATTTCCTGATCCATCTGGCTAGAGGTTTATCAATTTTACTCATCTTCTCAACTCACTTTTGGGTTTATGTTTCTCTGTTGCTTTCCTGTTAAGTATCATTGCCTTCCATTCTGACTTTTTATTTCTATCTTTGTTTATTTTCTTCTAGTACTGGAGATTGACCCAGGGTATCATGCATTTCAGATAAGAGCTCTTCCACTAAGCTGTATCCCCAGTTTTTTTGTTTTTTTGTTTTTGGTACCGGGGATTGAACTCAGGTCCTTGAGCTTGCGCAGAAGGTGGTGAAACCACTGAGCTAAACTCCTGGCCCTGTATCCCCAGTTTTATTTATGTTCTTCTGCTTTAGCTTTATTTGCTCTTAAGGTAGAACAGAAGGTCACTGATTTGAGAATTTTCTTTTCATAATTTTTCATAAAATAAATTTTCTCCTATTTACTGTTTTAGCTGCATCACACAGATTTGTAAAATTTTTATTCATTTTAAACTTCTTTCTAATAACCCCCTTGACTTCTTAGTTATGTGTTGTTTAGTTTCTAAATATTTGGACAATTTTCCAAAAATGTTTTGTTGTTATTGAAATAAAAATATTTGTATTTTTGTGGTGCTACAGATCAAATTTAAGGTTCCAAGCACTGCTAGACAAGTGCTCTACTAACTGAGCTACACCCTCAGTCTGAACAGGATTTTCATTGCTAGAGAAGATAATAGGTAGGGGACATCTGTCTGTGGTAAACCAGTTTGATATCAGAGCCAAATGAATTAGGTCTTGTAGCAGTGAATTTGTGATCTCAGAATCACTAGTGGAGTCACTGGTGGCAAATAGGTCTCATAGAGACAGATACATTTTTTTCTAATAGTTGAAAAAATAGGACATTTGTGATATTCAGTAAAGAACGTGATGAGTACAGGAAAACAGAAACTGTTCACTAAAAACTTACTTCATCTATCTCATTTGCTGCTAGGGTTACCCAGTTGGTGGATCTGGAAAGGTCTCAGGTGCTTTAGCCCCAGGAGAGAGGTAGAACCAAATTAGGCTGCCAGAGACAAACAGATCCAGGAGACCCTGGCTGAGGGAAAGTGGGCCATCAACTTTAGATCAGCATCTGGTGTTCCAAAGGGGTGTGTTTTAACACATTAGGCCAGACCACCACCTCTCTGCCTGTGGGAGGCAAATAACCCTCAACACACCACATTAAGTTCTCAGGTCTAAAGACTCTGTTTTGTGGGCTCTACAGTCACTACAACTATAATCAGCCTGCTGACTAATTATTGTTTAATTATTGCTTAAAAACCGATTGCCACAATACAATCACTGCATTAATTACCCTATACAGCATCTGCTCCCCCATCCCCATTCCTTCCAGCCCCTCTCCCCAGTTTAATTGAAATTCAGCTTGCTGTAACATCCCCTTTCTCCAGGCCAACTGGATCTCCCCATTCACAAGAGGGACAAGAACAAAACAGAGAAGGCCTCAGGGATTAGGGAGTTTTGACAGCTGTCCAAGAGGAGCGCTGAGACAGGGCCCAGTATTGAGGCAGGACAGAGATGAACGCAAGACCCAAGACAGTGAAGAGGACGGAAGAGATAGGCAATGGAGACATCACAAGAGAAATAAACTGGACAAAGAGTCGCAGAGACGGGCAGAAATGTTGAAAGGGGCGCCAAAAAAGCTGCAAGAGGGAGAAACAGGGAGAGATGGTGAGGGAGACAAGGAGCTCGTCAGGAAAGAGGGGGTTGAAGCGCAGCCTGCAGGGACAGGTCAGTCCAGCCTGAGGAGCGACCTGAAGAGCGACCTGAAGATCGAAGGGGGCGGCACACCTGGGGAGGGGTGGGGCGCATTCGGCTGCCGAGGGCCGGGAGGAACCGGGCGGCGCCCGGGTGGAGGCTAAGCGCGCCTCAAGGCCGCAGAGCCCCCGCGAGCCCGGGAAGCGCCCGGGGGGCCCCGCCCCCGGCTCGGCCGCCTCCTTGGCCCGGGCTTTTCCTGCGGGGCTCAGGAAGCCGCCTAGCGCGGCCGTGAACAATAGCTCGGGGCGCGGGCTTGGCCCTTGGAGAGCCAGCGAGGGCCGCGGGAAGGGAGCGTCGCGCCGCCAGAAGCCCGCAGCTAGCCCCAGGCCGGGCGGGAGCTTCGGGTCAGCTCGGCGCTGCCCGGGTCATTGTTGGCCGCGGCTGAGGGAGCGGGAGCCGGGGGAGGAGCCGGGGAGGCGGCGGCGGCGGCGGCGGCGGCGGCGGCGGCGGCGGCGGCGGAGCCAGAGGGGGCGCTAGAGAGCGGCGCGGTGCGCGCGGGCGAGCAGGAGGAGGCAGCTAGTGTGTGAGCTAGGAGCGGACGAGCGAGGGAGGGAGGCAAGGAGACGGGAGGGTGGGAGGGAGGAGGAAAAATAAAGAGGAGAGAGCCGAGCAGGGCTGAACAATAGAGACAGGCGGACGGGCGAGCCGAAGAGCCAGCTGCCGCTGCTGGGGGACTGCGGGCGCCCAGGCAGCCCGGACCCCGGCCGGGCCCTGGCCCCGGCCACACAGCAGGCGGCCAGCGCCCTGGGGAGAGGGACCATGGGGCGGCCGGCGACAGGCGCCCCCAGCTCACCAAGCGCCGCCGCCTGAGGGAGGCTCGGCGTCCTCTGCCCCATCCCCGCCGCCCGGCGCCCGCCCGGAGCCCCACAACCGCCGCGCCCAGTGACCTCCGCCCACCGGGCGCCGAGCCACCCTCGGCCCGAGGCTTCGCCGGCCGCCGGCTGCCCTCGGACGCCCTCCTCCAGTCATGAACCCCCCGGAAGGGGCAGCGGAGGAAGGAGGAGCCGCCGACTCGGACGTGGATGCCTTTTTCCGGACAGGTAAGCGGGGCAGGGCGCGGGGCCGTGGATGCGGCGTCTCGGACAAGTTTGGGGACGGCAGGCTGTTGCCAAGCGTGCGTGCGAGACCGGTGCTGCCCCCGGTCGTCGGGGCCGGAGTTACGGCGGTTCTCCTCGTGTGGCACTGCTGGCTGCGTTGCGGGAGGCGTGGGGGCTGGGAGCCGGGTGCCCCGTCGTCCCGTCGTCCCCCCGAGTTGCGGGAGTGTGTGCGGGGAGGCGGGGGGCGGTCGCTGCGGGCCGCCTTCTCCCGGGCTCGGGGATGGGCGATGTTGGATCACTTTGCGGCGCGCCGCTCCTGCTCCCGGCGTCCCCGGGCCTCCCTCGGCTCCCCTGCTCGGTGCCTGTCAGCGGAGCTCCCTGGCCGCCCGCGCGGAGCCCGGGGCCGGCACCCTTCCCCTGGCCGGCCCTGGTGTGCAATGGGGACCCGAGGCGCGCAGGCTGCACATGACAGGCAGGGGCTGGGCGGACCGAGACGCTGGTGCCCGGCGTGTGGGGAGCCGGCGTAGCGGACTTGGGAGGCGGACCCGGCTGGGAAGGCGGTGGGCGCCGCGGACTCCTCCTCGCCCACCTCTTCTCCAGTTCTGGGGAACGCATGAGCTTTTCTTAAGAATCTCATTCCTGGAAGTGTGAGTTAGCGTCCCCCTCCTAACACACCCACCAAATCTTTGCTTGCCTGTGAGGTGTGGGAGCCTTGAGCTGTCTTTCCAGCCTTCCACGCCCGTGCCGCCTCCTGAGCCCCGGGTCTGTAACTCCTCCTTCCAGCTGGCCACACGGTCCCTTTCACGGAAAGCGCACTGACCGCCCTCGTTTCCCACCACCTGTGGCCCTGTTTCTCTGATGACCAAGGAATCTTTTCTGTACCTGTAGCTTCCACCAGCTCCGTTTGTGTAGTTCCCCATCTCCCCACAAGTCTGGAACCATTTTGTTTGGAATCTTTGCCCCAAGGAGTCCAAGAAGTTATGGGAGTCGTGCATCTGCCCTCCTTTTTAGGAAAGTGGATTAGAGGACATAAACTGGTGGGGTCAGGGGTCAGGTTAGCTGTGGAGGCTGCACATCCATCTGTTTACTAAGCCCATTGCTTTGCCCCGCAGGTCATCTTTGGTGACACGGGTGGGGTGATTTGTTGGGAGACATGTGGGTTTGTTAGTCAAGGCTTAACTAGCTCATATGTTCATTCGCTGGTTGGTCTGGAGGATAGGAACTGATGCCAGGGCCTGGAAAACCAGAGGAAGACCCTGTCATCCCATCCTGCTTCCTGGGCTCAGCTTGCCCTTCTTCCTGCCTGTCCCTGTCCCATAGTTCAGTGTCCTTTTCCTTCCCCTCCTCTCCCCTCCTCTTCCCTCCTCTTCTCCTCTTCCACTCTCTCCCTCTCTCTGCTTACACTTACACTGCCTAAAGACGTGCTTAACCTGAGTTTATAACCTGGAATCGAGGGAAGATGTTCTAGGAGCTAGAAACACCAGGAGGGCCCAACTGAGCCCCATTGCCTCCTAGCTGGGTGAAAGTGCGTTTTAAAATTTTAACTTTAATTTTTTTTTTGCTCTGTAGGAGAAGTCTTGAGTTGTGAGCCTTCCAACTTTTCCTTCCCTGGACTCCACTTTCAACGTTTGGTGCCCACTCCTTTTCTCCCACCATCTAAACATTAAGCCCTGTCCCCTTTTTCCCAAGCCCCTAGAGCAGACCTGGAGGCTTGCTTATATCTGACTAATGATTTCACACAATGTTAATGGTGTTAATGGCCTATAATGGTCCAGTGTGTTACTTTTCCCAGGGCCTTTCAAAACACAACCAGAGGCTTACATTGTCTAGCCCTGGCTCAAATCACAGAGTAAATAGCAGACTGGGGTCAATCTCCTGTGGAATTCCTGTTGGGGATATTTTCTTCCTCCTTGGGCATCCCTGATTGTGTGTGTGTGTGTGTGTGTGTGTGTGTGTGTGTGTGTGTGTGTGTGTGTGTTAGGTCTGATGAATGTATAACACTGGGAATGACTGATGGTCTGTAACTAGTTGCAGAGGAGGGTAGGTCTGGAACCACTGTCCACCCTGTTTGGCCCTTATCCTCCTGACCCTCACATCGCTTGTAGTCTCTAGGGTAAGCTCTTACTGGGGATTTTTAAGCCTGAAAAAGCTATGTTTCTGAACCTTCTCCCTTCTAATTTCCCACCTCTATGGAATATAGCACTATACCTGATTGGTTGGCTGGATTATACACTTATTCAACTGAACAATTGAGAGACCATCAAACAAATTTTCAAAGTTAGCACAGGATTATCCCCTTCTTCCTGGTGAAAAATTTTGTATGCACAAAGACCAGACTAGCAATTACTTTGTCAAAATCCTGGCATATTGTGCCTCTAATTAGACACATTTTAAATAATTCTATGGTTCGGTTCCTTACTTGTCCTCTTCTGATCATTTTGGTATATTAATTCTCTTGACCAGCTGGTTAAGATAGATTATCTAAATCTCACTTTCCTGCATGCATAATGGATACAGATCCCCCGCCCCCTGCCCCGCCCATTATTCTTATAGATTGGTAGACTCCAGAGGGCATTCCTGGGAATTCTGTTGCAAGCCTGAGAAAGCGGGTCACAACTTTTTAATTTAATTTAAAAATTCATTTAATTATAATTTTATTGAATGTGTTTCAATAGGGAATAGAAACCAATTGATCAGCCAATCAACAAGGACTTTTCAATTCCTAGTAGGAGCCTTCTGCTGTCCAGGGTGCTATAGAATACAAGAGAAATATTCAAAGAGGTCTCTGCCCTCAAAGAACTTTTAGGTTACTAATTAAATAATTGCTAAACACTATGGTGCTATCTTAGTTACTTTTCTCTTTGCTGAGACAAAATAACCAACACCCAGAGATAAAGGAAGAAAGGTTTATTTGGTTTACAGTTTGTAGAGGTTTCAGTCCATGATTGGCTAGCTCCAAGGTAGACAGGCATCACAGAGGAAAAACAGTTCATGGTGGGCAGAAGGTAGCAAAGCAGGCAAGGGATAACCATAGCTCTTTCTATCCCATGTATCTTATTTAGGCTACTTAGGGTGGGTAGCACTCACACCCTTAATCCTAGAGCATTTAATCCTAACATTGCACCATGGATCAATTCCAGCATCATACACTCTAGATCCAGCCACCTCTGGAAAGACCCCCACCTATGACTGCATGAGGCTTTGGAGGGACATCTAAACACAAGCCATAACAGGTGCTAAAAGTAAAAAGCTGACAGAACTACAGAGAAGGTAGAATCTAGGGGTGTCCTTGAAAGGTAGGTGCAGAGACATTGGGATTTAGGGCATTGAGGAGCCTAGGCTGATAGAGTGGAAGGTTTAGGTTAGTGAGGAATGAGGAAGAGGGTTGGCTAAGTATGATAGGGCCAAACAAGGGGAGTCTTGAAAGCCCAAGAGAGGAGCTTGGATTTGATTGGGGTGGGGATTGCAGTAGAAAGCCATATGTTCTTCAATGCCAAATCATAAAGAAAGTGGTCTTTTGAAGGGTTAATCTGAGGGCAATATTATTGATGGAGTGAAGAAAAACAAAGATGAGACCCAGAAGGATTCAAATGTGATCCAGAGCTGAGGGAGAAGGGCTTGGTCTGGTTGGTGGTAGAAAAGATGGGAAAGATGGTGTATTTGTGTTCACTGTGTAATTCCTTAAACTTTTCTCTCAGATAATAACCCCATCCCACCTAGACAGAAAACTGAAACTTGTCATGTCTAGGTCATAGAGAAGGGATATCTTTGAATAACACCCTATGTTTATGTGTAATTCTTTGAGCAATATTACCACTCTGTCTGTGCCTTGTCAGGCACCTCTCAAAAGGGGAGGCGGGGGGTCTCTTTCCCCTGAGATCTTTTTTTTTTTTTTGCTGGAAAGGAAAAAAATATCTTTTTGACATAATGCTTGATTGCCACAAGGTAAGTGTGATGCTTAATTCAATGTTTATGGTCCCTTCTTTATTTCCTTTCACTTCTACCCATCATGAATCAGGCATTTGGTCACATAATTTCCCAGGAATTTCTGGGGAGTATTGAGAGGACTTTGTGGTTTTTGACAGGGCATATTGTTAATATTTCTAATATTATATTTCTATAAGCTGTTTTTACATAAATGTATTTTAAAAAACTTATCAGTGATATCCAGGTCCACTCCTGTAAGATTTAAGAGGCTTTGGTTTATCTGTATAGCAATCATCAATAACTCTGTTACTGGCACATTCTGTCCAGTTGTATTTGATAGTCCTTTAGGGGATGTAAGGAGGTGTTGGGATTAACTGAAGTTCCAGAAAGAAATTAGATGAAAAGTAATAAAAATCTTCCTGACTGTAAATATCAGTAAAGATTAGAACAGTTAAGTGTTGGAGAATGAACAAAGTTCTTTCTGATTCTGATACTTGGCAGGTTACTTATGATGGTAGGCAGTGTGGTATAGCCCAGTGGTTCTCAGCCAGGGGCCATGCTGCCCTTCCCCTCAGGGAATATTTGGCACTATCTGGAGACATTTTTTGGTTGTCACAACTGGAGGGGCAGTTTGCTACAACATCTAGTGTGTAAAGGCCCAGGGTGCTGCTAAACATCTTAAATCCACAGGACAACAAAGAATTATCCAGTCAAAGAGCATCAGTGTTCCAGAGGTTGAGAAACCTTAGTATGGCCAGAAGATCACTGGCTTTGGGTCAGATAGGTACTGTACTAACTAGGGGTAAGATCTTGAATAATTGCTTCCTATCTCATCTTCAGTCTTCTACAAGACAAGACTAATAAAACTTGCTTCACAGGTTGAGAGGATAAGTAAAAAAAAAAGTACAGTATGTATGAAACGTCTCGCAGTCTCTGACATAGGAAGACAAATCCTAGTTGTCTACGTGGTGCTTTAGTTATGATGTGAGTGTGATGGCATGGAGGCAAGGGCATATCTAGAGGGGCAAGGCTTTCACTCGGGTGGAGGAGGGTGCTGGAGAGCAGCACAGTGGGGT